TAACGGACTTTCTCCCGAAATGCATCACTGTCCAAAACAGCGAATTCAGCGGGCTTTATTATTCTATTCACCACGGATACAAATTGCGAGGTAAAATCCAATTTGTTAAACAATATTTTACGTGATACATAACGTAGTTGAAATAACACAAATGCTACTTTTCTTTAAATTTTCACTGATGAAATAAAAACGTACATATACAGAATCCAATCATAACGTTATTTCTGACTGGAATTTTTTTTACCGTGATCATTTTTAGTACGTGCATTTATTGGGAGTGAGGAAATAGTAATATGTAGTTGATCTCAGCATCCTATTGAAAACGTTAGTGAACGCGGTTCCACACCACGGACTGTTACGTAACTACTCAAAAGCAGAAAGTCCTCTTGAGGAGTCCATACGAGGACCAGTGACTACTGATTACCAGTGGTTGTCTAGCTGAAGTCAATCCTTGGTGTAAAATTACACATCCAGCAATCCCCTATACTGACAATGCTACGATTGTTGAATAAATAAGTCCAAACCATAGGATGGAGACCTCCAAGAGATAATTTAGTCTCTCATCCATTAATTGGTGAGTTGTCCTTATCATATTGTTATAACACAAGGACTTTGAAACACACTTTCATTTTTGATAACTTATAATACCATGAAAAGATTGAAAATGAAACAGGTAGGATGATGTTACACAGGCGATTGAATGAAAGTTGGTTTAGCCAGTGTACCCTACTTCTGAATCCTCTTGCTAATTAAATTCATGGGTTTATCGAAGCAAGCGCTTATTTATGTGCCGTATATCAATATGCATCGGATTAGTATATATTAAACCTCGATAGCTAAGGAAACAACCGCTCTATCACAAGAAGGCAAGTGTTAGATTCATGACTAGGTTGGGTTTCTAATGGTAAGTGGATTGTTACTGTACTTTATATTATCTTTACTATAGTGTTTCACTAGCCTTAACTGAGGTCATCGTTGTTTCTATCTACGGTGGCAGACTTACCGATCAGCTCTTCAGTTAGCTTCTGTATTAAGATTAAATTACTCTCCATAACTACCTAACGCCACTGTGTTTCATATAACGTTTTCATTACGGGCGATAGTTTTTTGATTCAAGAACTTCTAGGTAAATTTTGCTAAATTAGCTTCCGCTCTTCAGATGGCTTCGCATTTCGCCCGATAACTACCTTCGGTAGTATTATAATAATCATGAAGTTCCGTATAAGCCGGCAAAAGTCACCAAACCTTCGGAGTTACTACTTTTATAATAATGCAAAACAGCTTATTCGGGACCTTGTTATTTCAGCCTGTAGACTCAACCACCAAGTTGTCCTGATTTCATACCTGTGTCTTGACCGAATATTGCCAGTGGTTTTCATTGTCGAATGGTTACAGAGTAGTCAGCTCAAGTCGTCTACCATTATTTAATAGCCAACATTTTAGGGAACTTTTCCTTCGTTTCTGGTATTATTTATGAACTGAGTAATTTCCTACACTTCATTCAGCAGAAGTAACTAAACACTTCCCAATAACTCTCGTTTGATAAAAAGCGATCATTATACAAATTTTTGACATATTCTAGGATGATACTATTGTGTATGGTGATATTAAATTGGGTTCATCGACCTAGCCAGTTAATCAGTTACAATTTGTTGTGCTAGAAATAAAATGAATCCCATTATTTTTTCAGATCAGGAAATTTTTCCCATTTCTAAAGTACTCCATGGTTTTTTTTACCTTTATTATGTGCGTTATCGCATCTTATTCACTTCCCACTTACGACCAATATCGAAATACAATATAGGCAAGTAATCATAAACAGCATTGTAAAATACTTAGTAAGATAAACTTCCTCAATTTACAGATTAACCTGAATTCTGAGTGAAGCCATTAGAAATGTTTGGGTAAAAGTTTATCAGTCTGATAAAAAATGAGTACTAGATTAACTATAGAGGATCAGATGTAGTACTCGTAGCAGGTGACATTAATGCCCAATTAAGTAGCTTAAACAAAACAGAAAGACAGGTGGATATTTTAGTATTCTGGCTCAGCGAACAGATAATGGTGATCGTCTGCTGCAACTACGCTCAAACAATCGTTTATTTTTAGCAAGCACCAATTTTAAGCATACGGAGAGACATCGTCTAGCATGGTGACTCCCTGCACCAAACCAACGATGGACTCAAATAGACCATATTGCCATCAGTCATCGTTGGGAAGGCTCGATAGAAGACTGTCGCTCGTTCTGGAATAGGAGTTTGGACCCCGACCATGCCCTAATACGAGCATGTATTTGCTTTCGCCCAATTGGACACATAAAAACAACAATAAGAAAACCCATTAGAGTTGAACTCAGTGACGATAAAGCCAAAAGCAGATTTCAGGAACAACTGAGGTCACACTTAGGCAGTTCTGAAAACGAGGCTGACCCAGATGTTGCTTGGAAAGCTATACAAACAGCTGTGGAAACAGCAGTGAGATCTACCAGTGATTTAAACCACAGGGTAACACAGAACCAATGGATTCCTTTCAAGGTCTATTGCACTGATGGATTCTCGTAAACTCATCCCATCGGGTTCTGAACACGATGAAGAGCGGAAACAAATCAGATATAGGTTAACCAAAATTCTAAGGAACGACTGTGAGCAGTGGTGGGCAACGAAAGCAAAAGAGATGGAAAAAGCAGCGGATGTAGGTAACACAAGACAGCCCTTCATACTAATAAAATAAACTGGAATTAAGAAATCAAGTAATGGTGTGGTGAGACGCAGGATATTGGAGAATGATGGTAAATCAGTTGATGAGGTTGTGAATCTTCATCGACTAAGATGGTTGGGCCACGTGCTACGTATGCCTGAACACCGATTACCACGATGTGCAATGCTAACCGGTGTTGGGGATGGTTGGAAGAAAGCTAGGGACGGCCAAACCAAAACGTGGCATAAGTTCTTGAAGTCACTAACTTCTGATCTGAGCCATGTTGGTAGATGCAGACAACTTGGTTGAGGTCCGCGCGACTATCGTAACCAATGGTTGGAGACTCTTGGTGACATGGCTCAGGATCGATCAGAATGGTGTAGGTGTATACACGCTTTGTCTTCTCTTAAACTGTGAGATTAGAATTGCTTTATATATTTCTTTCTACCAACTAATCTTTTGTTCCTGTACTGTCCTTATACACAATCTTTCTTTTGCATATTACTACCATTGAAGTGACTAGTTCTATGAATTCGGTGCTCATCATGTTGTACTAATGAGGTGTGTCGACTTGGACCTTTGCATGAAAGTGCCTGGCCCTACATTGTAACTGACTGACTATCTATAGAGAATCAAATACAATAGTAGAGATAAGAAAAAACAACTTTAGGGAAATATTTATGATATAAAGCAGTTGGTGACAAGTCTTGGATTTGAAACCATATCACATTTCTCTCTAAGTGTTAATGTGTGACTGTCACCCTGTTGAGTACGCGACTTTCGGGTTGTCAAAACTTTAACTTCAAAAAGCTGTCACTAAATCCAGAGGTTCATATTAACCACTTACAAATTAGATACTGGGTGATATGGCCAACAGAATATCAGTAACAATAAGAATGTAACTGTGTCACATGAAATCTTCGGATTGAGAAATTCATGTGCGACTTGTCTGACTAACGAACAGAATACGATTACCTCAGGTTACTGTCAAAGAGGTATTCATCAACGTAGTTGGTGAGTGAAAAACTCATGTAATTTTTCACAGAATCTGCTAACCGATAACTCAAATCAAAATGAGATCAGAAAAAAGCAGTTGGTTAGCATATTATGACCCCAAAGATCATTAACCTGGTTCACGAACAACGTCGGGGACTGTGATTGGAATTTGGGAACATCAGTCAAATCAAGACTCAACATTCGGAACTGACTACCAATATTAAAGCATGAGTTCACAGTTAAAGAATTATGGTAGTCTTATATTAACGTCTGTACAGACGTTAAAAATACTCTAATATATTACATGCGAATTAAGTAAATAGTTAAAACGATTCTGAAAACTGATTAAAGGAAGGTTCAGAACAGTTATTTCCACGGCATATTTAATTTTCCAATTCGATACAGTTGAATAACGACGTTAAAATTTTCCCTGTAGGATAAAAATAGGGAATCACATACTCTTTAGATCTGTGGTTGATATCTATGGATTTATTGACGTCAGCATTGGTCAGTCATTTGCAATGTAAAATTTCATACACACCTGTGTCGATAAGTTTCAATACCAACTTAGAACAGCGGGATAAAACCATTTCAAGACATATTCCTGAGTCGAAGCACTAGCGCCAGCCAAAAAAATCAATAAAATTCACACGATTCCATCGTAAATTACCAGCAATTATCACCCTAGAATGAAACCCTTCATCAGTATGCATCCATAACCCCGGATTCGCGAATTCAACCCAGAACCTTCGGTTCCGCGCGTGAATGTTTAACTTTTAGACCACTAAGCCTGGATCCAGAGGTGTTGATTTCTAACTTTAAGTAATATCGTGTACTGAGGAGTCCCATACCAGGACGAAACAGTCGTTCAGTGTTTCCAAGCTCTCAGTGGTGATCTAGATATGATCGGTTCGTGATTTAAACTGTGAAAATTCTACAATCCCTCTTATTAATAATAATCGTCCTGTTACTTAAAGCTTTACTGTTTTCCTATTTAAAAAAAACATTTATTGTAAAATTCGTAAACAAACTAATCAGGAATAGTTCAGATAGTACCAGTATTACGAGTGAGAGAGATGACCTAGACAAATGTCAGTGGGTTCTTAATAAATAAAAACTTGTTTCAGATGAATGAAGGTACTTTATATTGTAAACCCAACAAAGTAATTATGTAAAAGACGTGAAATTATGACAAAAAATCATTATTTAGAAGAATCAGGTACAAAGTATCTTGAATATTATCTAACAAAGATTATTCTGAAAAGTAACTTGTTCAAAAAAAGTACGTATCAATGAATGTTTCTTTATCAGACCACCTAAAATAAAGCCGGAAATCTGAATAAAAAACTTCTCATCTATATTTTAACATTATATAGAACAACCATTCTGGTATTCGAATAAAACTGGGTATAAACTTAGCAATATAGTAGCCTTTATATGAAAGAAGATATTTCAAAGACCTCACGTTTACGATTTCTCGACCACAATCTTCGTGTATACCGTATTCCTCAGCTAAATCACTAACAAGGAATATATGACCTGACCGAGAAAGTAGTTTCTTAGGTGATTCAGCAGCCATACCTACTACTACGCGACCAACTAACTCGGGAGATTGACCTGAAAAATAATTAAAGCCGGGAAGAAAATGCAGTTATGTAGATACCAGCTTCAAGGTTTGATATGATTATTCTTAACAAATTAAATGGTAATTACATTGAGATTTCAAAAATATGTCATATAAAACTATACTTTATCAGATGAGTCGAAAATATTTTATTCTAAAATGTGAAGACTTTATCAGGAGATAATGTGAACCAAAATGTCTATAAAGCATTAAACTTGTTAGTTCGAAGGTTCAAGAACCTATGTTATTTGTTCGATCAAGACTACTGTTGACTATGTCATTCCGTTAGGTGTAAGTGTAATCGCAGTCAGCACTGGTGACCGAGTAACAAGAAGAAGCTGAATTCTATACAAACTCAAGTAGATGGCTGAAAGTTAATCGGTGATTGACTAACATTTTTTAACCATTAGTTTCTCCAATATCTCAGATAAGTACTGATGATGGAACTTGACAAACACAGAGTTGCAAAACCGTTTTCTGACCAAATACCTGTTAACATTTCAAGTCAAAGACAATGCTCTACAATGCTAGGCTAATTGAATGCATTTCAGTGGACTGTATGTGCAAAAATGTTGACATGATGTACAGGGAATGAGTAAAAACAGATTTTTTTAAAAAGTGTATCAATTGGGAAGGCTTAAGTGGCAATGCACACCAACAGAATAGCACATGTACATTAGTATTAGTCAGTTTCTTTATTTTATTTATTTATTTGAACACATAAATATTGGTACAAAGAGGCACTTAATACATATACGCCACACAAGTCACTTGATTTGTGTGTAAGCTAGGATACTGCCCGGGTGCCCAGACCGAAGCAGGTGGTTTTCTTAGAGGGGCCACACCCCGAGCCTTAGACCTAAAGGTCTGACCCACAAGGCAGTGGAGCAACGTCAGGAGATGCAGTTCCATGGTAGCCGGTGACCAACAAATTCATTTACACAGTAAGTAATAAAAAGACAACCGAGTTTCAAATGTTCATTGTCTATGTTAGCTTCTGTTCTGATCTGAATAAAGGTTGATTTACTAGAAATATCTAATATCAAAACAAAAAAACTATTACTTGATTAATAAATCTACAGAAAACACTTCAAACTTTTCAAAAATAGGCATATGGATTTAAGAACATTTGAACAGCTAAAACTACGTAGTCTGAGGCAAAACGAAATCAAAGATATACGTTATACTAAACACTACGGTGGTGGTCAGGAAGTATTTACTGAATATAAAATTAAAGTCAAACCAATATTAAAACATAAATACACCAACGTACTGTTTTCTATATTCATTGTGAGAGAACCTTTAGAAGCAGCGTCAAGAATATGCTCTGTACGAACTAATCCAGGAGAAATTCCGACAATCGAAATGTTAACATTTTCCCTTCTTAATTCGAGCGCCATATCATGAGTTATGCGATCTAGTGCTGCTTTACCTGAAATTGTTTTGATAAAAACTCAAAGACTTTCAAGGGAAAATGTTGGACAAAAGTCAGTGGTAAAATATACAAACAGCCAAATTGTTTAACTACTTCGGCTAAGCAGAACTTTAAAGAACTATTCTGAGGGAATTTCATACCAACATGACTATTCTTAGTGATTTTAGATGAATTGCAGCTTATTAACGGTTCTATTGCGCTTCAATTATCCTTTTGTTCATAATCCAACTTTGAAGTTAATTTTTATATTACGCTTCTTTATATCGAAACCTATCAATTCCGCAGATTTGCTTTCTACGATGAATTTTGATTATTTATTATATATGGAAGTGTTCATAACATGTTTGAACAATAGTACTATTTACTTATTACAGTCACGTTTGACTAAACACAACGGAGATTTAATGCATCGTGTGATGCATATTTAGTCTATCAATCAGTCACAAGCACAGACTTGATCCAAGTCGTCATATCATTACAGTAAGGTGCGAAATTAATAAGATGAACAATAACGGAACTGAAATAATGTAGTATCAACGATAATAGGAAAAGCTAATGATGGTTTTTAATACAACTCAGTTTCCAACGCACATCAAAATCATATACATACAAAAAATTCTGTATGATTTGTGAATACAACATCCCAGAAACATTGTGACTGTTACAAACCTCATAGATTATGAGGTTTGACGGTACAAGCCTGTTTTATAAACAGAAATAGATCAGTAAAGCGAAGATATTTATTTTCAATTAGTTCTTCATCATACCTGTATGCTAATATATATTTGTAACATTAAAATAATACTATTCGGGTAGTAGTGTAACAATAATTATATAATTTCAGGGTGATTGTAATATAATACCAAATGATTGTGTAAGTGGAAGGAGGATTACAATTATTAAAGCAATTGTTTGTAAAAACTGAAAGAATTTAAATAGACAGTTGCTAGATCATATAATATTCCACAATGGAATTAACAACTTATTTCGACAAAGTCAACTTCATAGTGTTTGTGTAATAATCAAGAATATGCAAAAATAAAAAAGTGACATATCAGAAAATCGATTGAATAGTTTTCGAAAGAATGGAAGTTAATCGAAATTCAGCAAAAACTCCTTCTTATATTGATGCCCAAGGTAGAAAGAACGATTGTACAAATTTAAGTCCGGCTTATGGACATGGAACTCCTCCTGGAACCCCTCTGGGGCTACTGCCGGTCCCAGGCAAGGATAAAAGAAGGGGTTGGGCATGGGGTTAACGACCCCATCCCGTAGAAAACTAACTCGCTAAAAAACGCTAACTAGAAAAAATTATTCAGACCATTTAAACTCTGCCCTGGGAGTCAGAAGGTCCTCATTTAGAAAAGTTATGAGGCCTCATGGTGAAAGCCGAGTTCCTTCGGAAGTCACGAGGTTGATGCCCCTTCTGCCGATCAGAGCAAAGCAGTAGGACCAGACAACACTCCAGCAGAGGCACTGCAAGCAGATGTAGCAGTAACTGCAAAGGTACTGAATGTTCTCTTCAGCAAAATTTGGGATGAAGAACAAGTACCAACAGACCGGAAAGAAGGACACCTGATCAAGATACCAAAGAAAGGCGATTTCAGCAACTTCGATAACTACAGGGGCATCACTCCTCTCTTTAACAGGGTATTGTTAAACAGAATGAAGGACCCCGTAGACGCCCAACTTCGAGACCAACTGGCTGGACTCCATAAGGATCGGTCGTGCACAGACCAAATCGCAACACTACGGATCATTGTGGAACAACCAACTGAATGGAATTCATCACTCTATATCTACTTCATTGACTATGAGAAAGCATTTGATAACATGGACAGGACAACACTATGGAAGCTTCCTCGACACTACGACGCGCCTGAGAAGATAGTCAATATCATACGGAATTCCTATGATGGATTAAACTGCAAAATCGTGCATGGAGGACAATTGACAAAGTCGTTCGAAGTAAAGACCGGTGTCAGGCAAGGTTGCTTACTCTCACCTTTCCTGTTTCTCCTGGTGATCGACTAGATCATGAAGACGTCAACATCTGAGGGGAAGCGTGGGATACAGTGAACAGCTAGGACGCAGCTGGATGACCTAGACTGTGCAAATGATCTGGCTTTTCCATCGCACATGCAACAACAAACGCAGGAGAAGACGACCAGTGTAGCAGCAGTAGGTCTCAACATAAACAAAAGGAAAACCACGATTCTTCGATGCAACACAGCATGCAACAATTAAATCACACTTGACGGAGATTTGGAAGATGTAAAAACATTTACATATCTGAGCAGCATCATTGAATAACACGGTCGATCTAACGCAGATATGAAGGCGCGCATCGGCAAAGCAAGAGCAGTATATTTATAATTGAACATCTGGAACTCAAAATAATTTTCAACCAACACCATGGTCAGAAATTTCAATACAAATGTCAACACAGTTCTATTGTATGGAGAACTACGGAAGCCACCATTCAGAAGACACAAGTATTTATTAACAGCTATCTACGCAAAATACTTCGGATCCGTTGGCCAGACACTATCAGCAACAACCTATTGTGGGAGAGAACAAACCAGATTCCAGCGGAGGAAGAAATCAGAAAGAAGTACTGGAATTGGGTAGGACACGTTGAGAAAAGCACCCAACTGCGTCATAAGGCAAGCCCTCACACGGAATCCCCAAGGCCAAAGGAAAAGAGGGAGACCAAAGAACACATTACGCCGAGAAATGGAGACAGATATGAGAAAAATGAACCGGACAGAACTAGAGAGGGAGGCCCAGGACGGGGTGGGTCGGAGAATGCTGGTCTATGCGGCCTATGCTTCATTGGGAGTAACAAGAGTAAGTAAAGTAAAGTTATAAACATAGATTCCGATAGCTTCAGCAATATACAAAAGACGAACTTGTAAAGCATGATGTAAATTTGATGGGGTACAGTGGATAACTGGTATACCAGCTTTGTCAATTTGATGTCCTGTGTCCATTAAGTGACCACTAATAAAATTCTTAACCAGCCTTACTTCATCTCCGCTCAACCAAGACCGATATTGTTCTGCTATACGATGACGTACTTGGCGAATCGTACCCCTTTCAATAACAGAAAATCTCAAAAACTGGCAAAAACTGATGTGGCAGGTGTTATGACCCAGTGAAGATTAAGTTACAGGTGACTTCCGAGGACTGTTAATAGACTAAAATTCTATAAATATTCTTATTGTATAATTATCTAATAATTATCATGTTAAGTCTAATGGTGTCCTTGGACTTTAAATCGACATTTCCTATTGGCCAATATTTATTTCACTTGTCAAATATTGTACAAATGTTGTTTTCTATTTTATGGTACGATGTGGTTTGTTTGATTAGTATATAAACAGAGTATTTCTGAAATAAACGATTCGATTCGATTCATATTACAGAAGCTGGTATTGTGTTCTGGACTCAAGTGGAAGGGCTAGGAGGACATAGGACCAATTAGGACGTTAAACTGCTCATACCGGCTGAACGTCATTGGTTTGGCATAGTGCGAAATTGTATAAGTCGTATTCTGACTGGTCGATAAGTCGCGTGATAGAAAAGCCAAACATCAAGGTCATAACAGCAGGCAGGATTGATAAACGATTAGTAGGCTTCTTGGAACAGATTAAACAACAAAAATATATATTTCGGAAAGTGTGTTTCAAATGTTGAGACCTACATGAACAATGACATCAAACAATACAGTATGCTAAATATACATAAAAGTTGGCTTGCCACTTCGATTCGTTTTAGATATGAATAGTTTATCCTATCATACTACAGAAAAAAATTAATGTACGTTCTCAAAATGTTGCACATACAAACTGCCAGGAATAGTGCCAAGGACTCCTGGGAATTTATTAGTAACACCAAAATATTGTTAGTCAAAAACAACTTCATGATACCATTATATTTACTTTTTCATTCACTATTAAAAAATAAGATCAATGGTAACAACTATCACGAAGTTATGGTCCTTGGAGTTACAGTTCTTTAGTGATGCCACTGAGATGATAATAATAACAGATTAAAAAGGCATTTACTGAAGGAAAACTGAACAAGGTTTTTTACATTCTTGTGATAATGAGAACCACAAGTAAAGACAAACTGCCTGGTTTCGCCACTGTTAATTGAAGCGTGAACAGTATTTTCAATAGATATCGTCATTTTATTCTGTGTGTGGGCTAGGATACTGCCCGGGTGCCAGGACCGAAGCAGGTGGTTTTCTTAGAGGGGCCACAACCCGAGCCTTTGACCTAAAGGTCTGACCCACAAGGCAGTGGAGCATCGCGAGATGCAGTTCCATGGTAGCCGGTGACCAACAATTGGTTCATACGCCATTTGTTCCCGCAGGATACTTGAGCCCATGTGAACTGTTGGTTTGGAATCAGGGTTTTCAAACTCCCCCAGGTGCACTCGCCGTGTCCATAGGCCCGGTTTAAGCGCTGGGCATTCGCTATTCGTCCTGTCAATTTCATAAACAACACCTCAGCCACGAGAAGACAGTGAGTAGGACTTCTTTGGTAGAGGCTGTATACGCGTGGTCGTGTGAGAGCATTCCGAGAGGGGAGCGGGCCCTCCTTAATCTCGGCCGTACCAGGGAATTTGGGGGCCACATCCATGTGTGTCAAACGATCCGATTGCTCCCACGGAGCCAATTATATGATGTGTACTATTCAATCGACTCTCAGAGTTTAAGGAAAAGAAGTGCGCCTTTATTTTATCAATGAACATCGTTTTTAGATTTGTACAGCTGTGATAGGAAAGTTATTATTAAGGCTTATATATATATATATATATATATATATATATATATATATATATATATAATTTCATGTTGGGTAAAAATATAGAGTACAATTATAATGATAAGAGCAGATAGGTGTCGAGTAACTTCCAAAGGAAATACAGTAACTTACCACTTCCATAGGACACGCTAAAAAGGTAGATTTTTCCACCGACAGAAGTGATATTTACGATTAAACCAGGTCGGGTTGAACTTGAATTTGTTTTTTTCTGGTATTCAATCATCATTCGAGTAGCCAAAACAGAACAAATATAGTGATTCTTTAGACCAGTATCATTAACAACATCCCAAACTTCACCTGGAGATATGTCTGTAATTTCATAATACGGTTTCCCCATATTTTTCTGTAAAAATGTTACAGCACTATATGCATTGTTAACTACGATATCTAAGCGACCTTTTTGTTCACGATCAATCTGATGAAATAGATTTTCTATTTCATTTTCATTAGAATGATCAACCATAACAGGAATAGCTTTCTGAAAATAATAACGATTGTTTAACACCATTGAAAAAGAATATCTTGAAATGGTACTACTTCAACAACCACCCTAAGACATAAATGTGCAGTAGAGAAAAAATAATTTGCTTTACAATAAACACTTTACATTGTCATTGCAAAAAGATTAAAACAACAACTCATCTACCTAAACTAGATATTATCTTAATTTAAAGTTAATAGTTGTGCATGAGCAGGATTTGATTTTGATGGCTAACGAAAACTAATTCACACTATTTGGTTGCATTCCAGTATTAATAGGGGTAACTGGATTAACGACAAAGTCAGTTAGTCATAACCAATATAACATTTAGGACAAATAACCAACTGCTCAGGTTGTTACATCAGTCCAGCATAACGAGGTGAAACTAATGAGTATTAAGATAGTTGAGATATTACAATCAATAATAGTAGGACTAAAACTAAATAAAATGGTTTGTAAAAGGATGAATTCGAGTAAAGGAAAGCGCAAAATAATTTCGAAAATTGAGATCTGAGAAAAAACGAGGAATGAACTTATCTCCATTACTGTGATTCTGAACAATATCATGCAGGTTATCCAACCGGTAATCACGATTATTACGCAGACCCTAACCCCGTAGTCCGCACAAATACGGCTTAGATCAACAGTAAATAACTTAATAGATCTATTTTACATTTTGGTTCGGCCACCTCTAGCTTTATTCCAATTCCAGCCAGCATTGAGTGTCGAGTTATAGCAACAACAACTGACGTCATAAGTTAAAAAAATACATGCGATATGAGGACATGGATTTAAAGTATAAGCAACAAACAAGTGAGTCTATACATTTCATTTTCTACCTAGTAATAAAATTACTTAGGGTGATAATATGGTTTCTACGGCTGGTTTTGAGTCACGTTCTCTAACAAACAGAAACGTCCGATATTCAGACTTTTATAAGGTAACCCTGTTAAAAGCTTGACTTGTAACTAGAATCGTACCTGCATTACTCTACTAAGATGTGCAGACAGTGTCATCATTGTTCGCACGATTGATGCATTCCATAACCTAGGATACAAAATTCTATTTGCTAGATTAGCAACATTCAGAACAATCTAGAACTTCGGAGGTGAGGACATAGTATCTCGCAACGTGGGAAAATCAGTTCACAGACCGGAGAAAAACTCTGACTTTTCATGTGGATTTGGGTAGTATAGTTATCTCAAATGCTTAAAGTATGTCAACGTAGAACGCAAATCTCGAAAACCATATTTACAGCAATTAGTAAAGCAACTTTGTGCAGAAGACAATCGTATCGCTTTTGTGCAAAGAGAAAAACACAGGTAAAGAGTTAATAATACCTACACCACCAAAGTTATTGATGATATTTGACGTTTCCTGGAGACTACCGCCAATTCCGCCATTAAGCGGCACTGATGTTCGTCCAGTTAAATACACTGTGGCTCCAGACTTTCCTAATGATACTGCTATGCCTTTACCAATGCCACGAGTAGCTCCCGTAACAAGACATACACAACCAGTTAGATCTTTCATTCTTCAAATTATGCGTTCCTACAACAGAATAAGAAGTGTTCACTGTAAACACAACAAAAAAATCAGTCGATAAATGTATACTTAGAGTAAACATTGGCATGTCACTTTCTAACTAAAATACAAATAATTCACGTCAACAATCATAATGATGCATGTTTTGATAGTATGAAAGCCAATTCGTTAACATGAAAGTCATGAAATTAAAACAAACCAAGGATTAGGGATAATTGTTAGGTCAGGAACAAAAGATCCCTGCTTTAGGGGGACCAGTGACACCAAAGATGATCATCCTAACTTCCGCACACAACATTTGTAATACTGTAAATAATACCTCAAACTCTTTAAATTGTAAAAGAGATCAATTCAGCGAACAATTTGGGGTAAGCAAGACAAAAATTGATTTTTCTCATGCACAACTGAAGAACTCTCGTGTATTCTTTTTTTCACTGAAAACCCGATTTAAACTGAATTTTAAAACCCTACAAACGATTTGCACCTGATAAACTCATGAAGTACTGACGACTCCTAAAAAGATGCAAAGAAAGCAACCTGATTTCTACTGGTGTTACACTAGTTATTTCAGAAATTTTTAGTTGTCGTTTACAGCAGGCTTTTTAATTTAATAACACCTACGAAAATCGTATTATTTTACCGTACATAACAGTAAATCTGACGATTCGTTTCCCTGAAGAACTTCGGGAAGTTTCGGTGCCTACGGTCATGACGGATGTCGAGGTAACGCGTCAGAGTATGACAGAGGTTTGTGACGTCATTTCGCGTTTTTGAGGCTATTCTTTCACTGAATAGACCTCAACGCTGGTAGTTCTCGTGATCTCCATAATCCGGTCGGCAGAAGCAGCCTGTTCGTCTACAGAGTTATTTCGAAATTAAAAGAACTCTGTAGACACGCCCACGTCAACGGTCTGTTGAACAATGACCACTCGCATTCGTAGCAACATTCCTGTTGCTGAACCGTGGTGTGGCTCTATGTCATGGAAGAGTTGATATCACCTTTGTCAGTCGGTCGGGTTTCCACGTTTAAACATACCCTTATTCAAAGTGTCAATACCTCACCAAACACCACTAGTAAAACCACAAGGCGTAGGGAAACCGTTGAAATTGCGCGCTAGATGGCAAAAGATTCTTAATCTTACATAGCTGAACAGTCTGTTCCGCCATGATGAATACAAAGTAAGCTAGTAAACGAGAATGAAATCCGAAACTATAAAAGATGTATCACAGTTTCTAAAAAACAAAAAATAAAAGTAATGTTCTCGCTTAGGCGGTACATACACTAAATTTGGTTTCGCCTCAGCTTACTAGTCGGTTTTTTTCAGCTTATCTCGTCCGTTTTTATCCATTTTTGCTCGTTTTAAGTGTGCTTTTTAGTGTATATTTTAACGGTCTTAGGCTTTTGTTGGCATGTATAACACAACTTACGTCAATATAGTCATGAAAAATTCATGCAAACGACCTGGATGCCGTTTTGCTGTTACATCTGGCATGCAGTGCGACAACTGCAAAGGTCGGTTCCACGAAGCTTGCACAGATCTCTCAGCAACTGCTTACAACGGAGTCAGCAAGTCGGATGATAAGTGGGAATGTGTTGCGTGCAGCACGGATGCTGCAGTCTTGCTGAGTAACACCATTGTCCTATTGACAGGTCTGCGGAATAAGTTGTCAGCAAACTTAGAAAAAGACAGTCATAAAACGGGTAGACAAACAAGGACAAGCAACGAAAACAAGAAGGATGTCGACAGGTCTACTATCGATGGAGCATGCATTAGAACTAATGATGACATGTTGAAACTCAGCACCATCATTACGTCGACGGTAACAGACTTTCTCAGTAAACTCGGGTCTCCCGGCTGAGGATCCTTGAATGCACCAGTGTTTCCCGAAAACTCTGTAGATGATTGGACCCACGTTGACAGAGCTAAAAAGAACCAGGCGTCACCGTCTAAGCTGTACGGAAATCAACTGATGATTTAGTTACACAGTCTACCCTCAAGAATGTCCGTCCGGTCATCAAAGCGCCTAGGATTCAGAAACGTGCCTCGACCTTCAAACAACAAGGTGCTGAACTTGAACGCACCGGGAAACCTGGGGAAACAATAGCGGTTCGTGATGACTCTCTCATAATTGTAGATCACCAACGTAGATGATCTATGTCGAAATGATTGGAGGCCGACTCGAGTTAGACGTGAATAGTGTGACGAACCAACTAACGTCGAAGTCACACCTCGTGGTCAGCACCTTACGTGGACTACCCCCATTGACGTAACAAGGTACTATAGATGCTTTGAAGACTGTACAACACAAAGGACGTTATTACAGAAATATATTAGTTAAGGTAGATACAGGCGAAAGTAAGACCACTGCCGCATGGGCCAGTCCATGGCGTATGATTAACTAATGCGCGTTTCTTGTACATGACCTTGGCAGGGAGCGATGATCTGTTCGACATTCAGTGATCCAACTGCCGGATGATTTGGCTAGGGCTCAGTGACATTTCACTGGCCCTACATAATCATGAACCTCAAAGACAACCCTGACCTTCCTCTCAATTTGCAGGACAAAAATGATAGGATGCTCTGGAGTGAATGAACAAGAAACCTGAACTTCCTAGAATAGAGCCTTTGACGGTCACACGGCTCACTCAGGGAAATGAATCTAAGCATCAAAATCACTCGAGGCTACTTCGTGTAACACTTAAGAATGCAACCGACGTAGAGGATGTCCTGCTAGCTTGTCATTTACTGAGATCCGATGGGAACGTAAGAATACTGCCCGACATACCGTATTCTGAGCGCAATCTCATCCGGAACATTTCTAAAGAATCTCGCGAGACGTTATTCAGTGAAAGAAATATAACTGTGCAAGGTGTACCGGAAAACATGGACCCTAGTCAAATAAACTCTGATATTAGAGAATGGAAATTCATCAAACAGTCCTTGAGGCTCAAAAACATATTAACTCAACATATGACGAGGCTAGCCAAGACGGACGGTGATTCTAGACCCCTGCTAATGAGGATAACTTTCCCATCCTACCATATGGTGGCTGCAACTCTGGAAGCACTTCGTGCCAACATACGTTGGTTGCCAACTGGAATCCACATGCACCCGGACAGGCCATATGAATACAGGACCAAGCATAAAGGCAAGCCGGAGTTGATCATTACACTTGTGGACTGTGTCGATGATTAAAAAACGTGTAAAGCACAGGGCCTACCAACTCGGCAAACCTTATGTAGGTAGGCTACCTGTCCATTCACGTAAGACTCATACAGACAAACAGGAAGAAGCTCACGCGTTTCAAATTGAAAGTATAAACTGCTTATACATCAACGTCGCAAGCTACGCGGACTCAGCAATGCTAATAAGGTTGATCTGATAGGAATATCTGAATCTTGGATATCTTCTCAGTTTTAAGAACAGGAGCTAGCAATACCAAGGATGTCTTTGTTTCTCAACGACAGAAGGTGCACCAGGTTCACAACCTCCAGTTTAACAACCTTGAGGAATATATATGGTGCTCTGTAAGATTGTCTACTACTTCGAGGTGCCTAGTCGGAGTCATACGTAGGAAGCCCACTCCCGACATCGAGTATGACAGTCGTATGCTGGAAGGACAATCCCACTCTAAGCGTCTCGGTTTCACTCATATCCTGATTCTAGAGGACTTCAATCTCCCTAGAGTCAATTTCGCGGGACATGCTTATATTGCAGGTGAAAACTCAACTGAAACTCGGTTCTTCAACTTCATTGAGAATTTGGGAATATACGATAATGTGAAGTCGGCAACCCGTTGGAGAAACAGTCAGACACCGTCGCGCTTAGACTTTGTATGTACAAACGAAGAATTTCTGGTTGACAACCTCTCAATCCTGGCTCCCCTGGGGAAAAGCGATCACGCCGTTGTAGCTTTAGGTTTTATCAGCAAAACTCTGCTAAGACATCCCACCAACTACAAGCGCTGCAATTCCAAACGGTTGAATCTGTCAGATTTATAGGAATACCTACAACAGGTGGATTGGGATGTTCACCCTCAGTTCGATGCGGATACTCATTGGGACTTCTTACTGCATAACCTCATATGTGCTACAAAGCAATCAGTTCCTCAAACGGTCCCCAAAAGCTACAAGCGACCTAAAATCATCAAGAACCGCACAATTCGCCCACTAAGCCGCAAAAGGCACTGTTGGGCAGAATACAAACTAACTGACAACAATGGAGCGTACAGGCAATACAAACATATAAGGAACATATGCATGAAGACTGTGAGGGAAGACAGGCTTTAGTACCAGACAAAGCTTGTGGATAAGTTTGTCTCTAATCCATAAAGCTTATTCTGTTATGCAGCCACTCTTCGTCAAGCCAAAACTGGAGTTTCCCAACTGCTAGGTCCTAACGGCCCGACCAATAACGACGGCGACGCCGCTAACCCTTTGACTGAACAATACTCTCGGACATTTCAACTGACCCACATCAACTATACTGATGACAGCTTCATCTGCAACTCCAGTGGACTTTCCGAAGTGAACCCGAGCGCTGACATGGTGTTCCGGAAACTGCAGCACTTAAGATTAGACACTTCTCCTGGCCCGGATATGGTCCACTCTGCTACACTGAAGAAAGAAAGCCCCGATCCTGGCAACGCCACTTAACGTGATGTTCTCGCACTCTCTAAGTCGAGGAAAACTACCGGAAAAATGGAAGCTGGCTCACATCACATCAATTTTCAAAGGAGGTCGACGCAGCGAAACTTCAAGTTACCGACCGGTGGCTCTTCTCTCAGTACCTTCAAAAATCCTAGAGTCCCTGATATGCGATGGTATAAATGACTATTTACTGTCCTTAAATTTATTCTCACCCCAACAGCATGGTTTCAGGAAGGGTTACTCTTGTATTACCTCCCTCACTGCAAAATGATAAGGACACTCTGGAGCGTATCCAACGACGAGCCACGAAATCAGTTCGAGGACTCAAATTTCAACCTTATTAAGAACGCCTCGAATCACTTAACCTTTAGCCATTAGAGTATAGGCGTCTAAGAGGTGGTTTTCTAATGGCTTACAGTATCCTTAACACTTCTGGACATCCTCTCAAACACCTATTCAAGCCTAGTTCCAACACTAACCTAAGAGGTATTACCCAAAAACTGGAGACACGACATAGCAGAACGGACTGTAGACACAACTTCTACTCCTTAAGAGTTGTCAAATACTGGAATGTGCTGCTGGCCGAGCTAGTCCAAGCGACTTCCCATGAGTCCTTTAAGAGACAACTTGATCTATTCTTAAGGACTAAGGATAGTATCACACTATGATTTACTAATTTCTTTTCCTCTTTCATTGTTAATATACCTAGGTTCCTGCCTGGAGGATTTGGTGATCCCCTGCTACTAGACACGGAAGCCTGTTAAGCGAAAGCTTCTTCTATTCCGTCCACAACCATTTGTACCATTTGAATCTTCCAACAAGGAACAGACTCACAGTTTATTGTTCGGTGTACCAGATCACGGCGGTCTCACCATTAAAGATGGCACAGATATTCAGAGATTGGCGATGCCTCTACATATAACACCTTTATAATCGAAGTATGTCAACCCAGTAAAATTAGATGTGAGAAATGAAGTGGTTCTAAGATATATTTAGAACGATAGCGATATTTCTGGAAGTGTGTAGTGTAGGCTGTACCTTGTTAAACAATCGCCCTCGTAAAAGTTATTATATCGACCTCAACGTTGTTTGAAATGAGAAGGAAAAGAAAAGCAGATAGCTCAGATCACAAAGTGGAGAGGTAAATCAGTGAGTCAGCGAGTTGAGTGTATAGTATTAAGTGTATACATATATATTTCTGGACATGAATGAAGCATCGAATCAATTAAGCAGCTAATAGTGAAGCTAGCAGAATGAATTTATCCGTAGTCAGTAAGCAATGCTCAAGCATACATGTTCATACATTCGCAACAATAATACAGGTACAATGATATATATAAGTTGTTATTGTACGTATGACTCAATCCGTTAAATAAATTGACAAAATCACTTAACCAAATTAAATGTTAACA